TCAAGTGGGACTGTATGACATGGTGTAGAGGATCCAGGTTGTTGTCATTTCTTTGTCATTCAGGATTGACTTGCTGATTAATGTCTGAGAAATTGCATGAACTTTTTGCTAAGAAAAATGTGTCATACTGATAGAATTTTCAATCTTGTTCAAATGTCAGGCAATCTGCTTGCGGAAATTAGCGTTCTCATCTCTTGACTCCTCGACCTTAATAACCACCATAAATATCGAACCAACCTTTTAAAGCTGAGATTACTCATTTAAATCCAATTGGAAAAGATGGTCATGGTAAGGAGACAAATGTCAAGGAATGTGGGGGGCTGAGTTATATTTGTAAGACACATTAGGCTTTTAAATCTGGTAATTTCCTGTTTGGAGCTGTTTGTGGAGATCAGCTGTGTTGCCCTAGATGCTACAGGTTGATATGAGCTTTCGTATTTCCTTGCAAAATGCTCTGTTAGGATGGAACATCTTGTGCTCCTCTGCTTCTGGTTGCTAAGTACCCATTCTTCACAGTTGTACCTAGAGGTAGAAATTTAATAACCCTGTGATGTTTACTCTCTTTCCTACAGAACCACAAAGTTTCTAGTAATAGGAAGGAATATATCTCTTTAAGGTCAGACTGTGCTTTATTCAGTAAAAAATACATGGAGTCATATTATTGGACTGGAGTGATATGTATGCATTGAAATTAACTAATGTTGGCTAGTTAAGGTGTTTGCCTAATATTAATCTGATCCCCTGGGCAGTGCACTTTTGTAGACAAATACTGTATTGGAAGGAAAGGGAAGGACAGAGAGAGAAAAAAAAGGGAAGTTATTTTAAATTCTAAATCACTGTCTTTCCAGAGATATAATAGGTTATATCTCTAAAGATAACTTGCCTTGAAGATTAAGACCTGGGCAAATATCAAAGTTGTTACGTAATAACAAATCAAAGAAAACCCAAACCCAAATCCTTATCTTTCTGAAAGAAAAAGCTTTACCATTCCTACTGTGATGAATGCATGGAATCCGTGCCTTTGGATCTGTGGAAAGCCTTAAAGCCAGTTATAATATATGTTCTATTTCCTCCTATTAAGAGCTCTAATTCTGTTGACCACATCTGTGGTGCTGTGGAATTTAACACTTTTACATTGATAGGGATTTGGCACATCAGAGCTGAAGTTATCTGCTTCTTTGATTTCTCAGTTACTTAGGGAGCTACACAGAACATCTATTTAGTAAACAAAATGGGATTGTGTCATACAAGGTTTCTGTTTGTTGGGTTAAATCTTTGACCACTCAATAAGGTAGGATGTTGACTTTGACACCTTCCGTGTCTAAAGAACACTAAAAAGTTTGCCTCTCACCTCCATGCCTTACTCTTGTGTCTCCAGTGAGCTTAGCCAAGAATCCCACTTACAAAACTGCCTCTGGAGCTGGCCAAGGACATTCTAGTTAGATTCCACCTTTCCTTATACTCTCACATAACAGAAAGGTGCAGTCTATTTTTCCCCTACATATGTGAAGGAACAGTTATTTCTAGTTTTCCAAATTAAATTTGAGCAAGTCTGCACTTTCTGGTTTGCCTCAAAAACTCTGTGAAAAAAATAGCTCCCTAAAGGGCATGAGTGAGTTTGTTCTGTTTCTCAAAATGAAACAGGGGAACAAAAGACCATCTTGCAATGCAGGGATCTGCAATAGAAACAGCACACATTACCAGAAGGAGGAAAATGCAGTGCTCCAAACAGAATGAGACAATTTTGCTTGATGAGCAGTGTATTTAAACATGACCATCTTCAAGCAGTCAGAAGCCATGTGAGATATTTGAATTTCTTGTTTTCCTGTGTGTTTCTTTTTTACTTTCAGGCTGTCAGCTGAAAAGGTTGGGATTTTTCTAGAAAGCTGACAATGAGTTCATGCTCCAATTTGTTATTGAGCATCTCAGATTCCGGGAAACTACGTCGAAACATCGTGCTCCTTCACTTCGTGTGGATCACTGGCTGCCTCAGCTTACTTCACACTGCAGAACTATTGAAGATAATGATAAATGATCACGTATTTTCAGAGAAAGGTTAACAATAATGTACATCTATTGGTAACGATGAAACTCTTAATTTCCTAGCTGGTTTGTTCCAGTGTAGGAGTGTAATTTTGCTCTCTGAAGCAGGATACTGTAGTAACTGTGCAGTGTGTCATCAACCCTCCATGAAGGGGCTGTGTTCAATACTCAAAAGAATTTCTAAGGAACTCATCCTAGTGAACACTGTCAAAGCCTTTTGCAGGGTTGTCCTGTGTCCCAGAGGAAGGGAAATCCATGGTGCTTTTCCTCTCACTGAGCAAGTTCTTCATATTGAGAAACAATTTATCTTGATAAATTTGATTCTCCAGCTTTGAATATTTTGATTCCCTTGCTGTGAATTCAATACCACCACAATGAAACAGATTCACTAATGTATCTTTGTCATTTTATTGGTTTTTTTCAAGGTGATCTATGTTTCTTAACTTACAGATGGAAATGGCAAGCAGCGTGGATGCATGCTTTGCTTATTAGATGGGTGTGTACCCCTGCAGCTGAGAGAATGAGCAGATGCATGGGTCCCAAGAAGCTCATGTTCACTTACGCCATACCTTACTTTCAGCATAGGCCTTTACCAAGGGTTGATCTGTAGGTTAGAAATACAGTGTCCTGAGAAAAATGCACAAAGGGAGAAATAAGCCATTTCAGCTGAATGGCTCTTTTATATTCTCTGTGTTTACCTGTTGTGTAAAAGTGAGGCAAATCTACCTTCCAATCCTCTCTTGAGAGAGATGCACAGAATAAAGATGGGTGTTAGGCTGTGAAGAAAAAGAACAGTGACTTGGATCGATCCAAATGCATTTACTCACTCGAACAGCAGAGATAAGAACAAAAGTGATAAAGAAACCTTAATCCCACATCAACAGCACAATATTAGAAGGGTGATTAAGATTACAGACCTAAGGGAATGCGTACATTGCATTACTGAACATGGAGTACCTAAGCTTTAGACTACCTAAAAAAACCCTGCAGGCTCTGTGTAATGTGTTGGTGAAACAAAGAACCACAGACCAATAGCCATCAACTTTGGGATGCTATGCAGGTAATGGTCTCTAGAGACTTGCCTCACATTGGAGCAAGGGCTGCATGGCAGGGCTGTCTGGCAAGCTGCTCTTCACTACTCTGGACAATAACCAGTTTGGAGCCACACAGCATGCAGCCAAGCAGCAACAGCTAAAGGAGACTGAGGGGTGACCTTATTAGTGTATATAAATATATAAAGGGGGAGTGTCACGAGGATGGAGCCAGGCTCTTCTCAGTGGCAAACAATGACAGGACAAGGGGAAATGGGTACAAACTGGAACACAAGAGGTTCCACTTAAACTTGAGAAGAAACTTCTTCTCAGTGAGGGTGACGGAACACTGGAACAGGCTGCCCAGGGAGGTTGTGGAGTCTCCTTCTTTGGAGACATTCAAAACCCGCCTGGACACGTTCCTGCGTAACCTTATCTAGGTGTTCCTGCTCCGGCAGGGGGATTGGACTAGATGATCTTTTGAGGTCCCTTCCAATCTCTAACATACTGTGATACTGTGACTTTGAATCAAAGTGAGTTTGGATTTAAATTTTGACTCTTGGTTGCAAAACGTGCCCTTTATGGTTGGCAGTGCTCAACACAGTCCACTTTTGGCTTTTTTTTCCAAATTCTACCCCTTATCTGCAATAAATTTTGATTTTAATGAATTGCACATCTTCCAGTACTAATTACTACTCATCATCTTCTTAAGATCCCTTATGCAAATGTATACATGCTGTACTCTGGTTGGCTCTATTTATAACTGAATGATGCTGCTTTGTACTTAAATGCTAAGATATCACAGCCAAGTGTAATTAGCTAATTCATTAATTAACCAGAGAATTTTTACCTCTGGTGATACACTTCAGCTTTGCTGTTCAAAGAGAGAGCAACAGGAAATTGTTCAGATTTCTAAGGAGGAGGCTGGAGTAAAACTGTTTGGAAAATCTACTTTCCAGCATTTACTATACCCTTGATGACGCATTGAGGCCAGTTGGCAGTTTTTTCTCCAAAGAGATGACAAAACTGATAAAATTTTATAAGCTCCCACTCCATATTTCTGTTTCTTGTTACTATTCTTAGAATGAACAATTTTTATGAATGTTAATGATACCATTATAATGTCAATTATTTGTGCCTTCTCTAAGAAAAATGTTGTAATCCATGCAAACTTGCTAATGTCTCTTTGGATCCCAAAGATGTGTTAGTGGGTAGGTGTGACCCACAGAAAATGCACACTTGCAAGTCTATCAAAATTAAGGAGAGAAGATTAAAGAAAAGAGGTTGCAAGAAACATGAGATGTTATCTTCTCTCTCCCCTGACTGCCCAGGCTTGAGTATATGTTCACTGTCAGCATAGGGACCAAGGGGACATTTGCTGAATGCCCCCTTATGGGCTTTCATGGAAAGATTAGAGGTCTCTGGTACTATAAAGCACAAGTACACGCTAGGGCCACAGCCTGCATGGAGATACACTTTCTTCTGTTCTGGATTAAATTTATGAAATCAGGTTTCTTGTTCTTTGCTCCACCTCTAAAATCTGGTGCAAAATAATATCCAAGTATCATCAGAAAGGTAGGATATGCTTTAGTTCTTAGGATTGTCTCAAATAATGACATTTGGTGCCTCTAACCTAAATGTCGTTAGGTCCTGAATTAGAGTCAACTTTCTTGTAGCTGCCTACTACTCAGTCTGACTTAAACCCGACAGTTGAAAATAGACCTTTCTGCAGACCTGTCAATTGAAATGGGTCATGAAATGATGCCAGATAGATACCTTAGTGTGGGTGTATGAGGTGTTTCAGGTGTTTTGGTAAGCTTAGGACTGAAGCCATGCTTTACAGGCCTGTTTGTGACTCAAATGTCCTCTTCAGGTCCTTGTTTTTCTGTTTCTTATGTAGCTCTCCTGCTCTTACTAAATTTACAGATGGTATGCTTTCGTTGGGTAGATGGAAACACATATGAATAAATGCTACATATCAGTGTAATGAGGCTATTTGAAAAGAAATTAGCACCTTTGCAAGCCTGGAAGATGATTTAAATTGAGAGGATGGACCGAGATGCATGTGAGCTGCATATTTTAAAACACAGGGAAGTATTTGCAAGGTCTTAGGAGGAAAGAGCCTGAAAGGTAAGACCATCATTTAGTGACTACTGAGAGGCTCAGCGAGGTGGTAGGGAATGACAAGTTAATGGCAGTACCTGTGTCTCTTGAGCACGTTTGTGGTTTCTTCCATTGCAATGATACACAAGCTTGATTTCTTGAAAGAGTGAAGTGTGAAAAATAACAACTTATTCTATTAGACATGCTCACATAATGGTTGCTTGTACTTAATGACCTGCTCACTCTTCCCACCCAGACCTAGAACCAGCACCAAGTCACTCTGGTTTGAAGAGTCATGGAGGGCAACAAGTGTGCAGTCACTTCCTGTGCTAAAGTGGGAGACAGTCTGTCCTGTTTGCTGTTCCAGCAGCCATCCTACCTTCCCAAACGTCACACTCTTTTACATCCAGCCTTCTTTGTGTTTCCTGCTGCACTTGCCGCTGCTGCAGTCACACATGGTGTCTTGTGTTCCAGGCACAGAACAAAGCATCTGCTACAAGAGAAACATTGAGAAAGAACAGACTTTTGAAATTCTGTGCTGCTAAAAACTGTTCAGCTTCTGTCTTAGAAAGATGCAAAGGGTCCCTACTCTCAAAAGCGCTCACAAGGGCAGTATGGAGAGAAGAAATATTGTCTTTCATTGAAGTTCCTGGGCGAGTCATTCACCCTCGGTCTGACTCAACACTGAGCACTGCTGCACCCCCCAGAACATCTCCCAGCTCACACCAGTCATTGCCCAAGACAACATACTCAGTCTTCAGAGCATCCTGATGGCTCAGTGCAGAGCCTTTAGCCAAGCTGCTGTGCTAGGGAGCACAGGGACTGTGAGCCTGACTCTGACATCATTCTGCATCCCAGCACCTGGAAGTCTTGCTGACACCTGTCTGAAGCAAGTGTGTAAGTACCCTGGTATCTCATGGCCTGCTTTCCTAAGAAGCCTTCTAGTACAGTATCAAAGTCTAAAAACAATGCTTGGGTTTTCTAGAATTTGCTTGAAAATCTTAACAGCAAAATTCCTAAATGAGACAAGCAGATTTTTCAATGATGCATAAATACATTGCTGCTAGACTCAAGTAGTAATCTGGATCATTTTCATTTGCTGAGAAAGGTTATCTGCATGGAGCTGCAAACCACAGTTTAGGGAGGCTGAACTGGCTGCCCAGCTTCTACACAGCAGGATCTGCTCTCGTGCTCCAGCAGTGCTGTTGCTATGGCTTTGCCCCAGCGTATATGAGATCAGAAACTGGCTCGCTGCCATGTATATGGTTTTTGCGAGAACTGAATTGAATTATGCTTGTCATTGTTTGCTTGGGGTGTTTTTCCCTAGCAAGATTAACAATAGCACTGCTCACAAAATCCTCATCTTAAGAAAGAAATTATGTTGATCTTTCCTTTAAAAGGGAAAATAAAGGAACTAAACTAAATCAGAGAACCAAACAGTCCAAACCAATTTGGACACTTCCAACTCAGGCTGTTTTCAGTGCTTTCATCTTCAGTGGCATTTTCAATACCTTCTGCTATTACTTGGCTAAGCAGAGGGCTGGGATGCAGAAGGTACAAGATGGACTCTTCAGATCAGCCAATAAGATGCTAGGTAGATTGGGATAAGTGGCTGAATCTCTTGATTCTATTGCTCCTCTTCCAAAGAAAGAATTTGGCTCTTTAGGTGACATTGATGGCATCCTGGTGTGGCTCTGCAACAGTCCTCTGTCAGGAGTATCTGGAGCAACAATCTGTCTGATTTAAATTGGTAAGTGTATGAGTTGGAGGTAGGTGATGTAATGGTAAATACAGTAGCAAGGAGAGCGACTTCATGCACAAAGAAGTTTTTTCTATTCCCTTTTCATGTGTGGATGGGAATATTTTTTGGAACAGGGCTTTTCCTTTCCGCTGTGCTGTGTATGGCAATTGCATACCAAATGCGGCTACATATCATATGTGCACAACATTCAAAACGTGTGTACTATGATATAAATAATTGGGTTGTCTGAACAAAAGCTTCTCCTTTTAAAATGCCTCAATGTTTTCTGAAAAAGTTAAAATGAAAACACATTCATAAATGTTGTGCTTCTAGCACTCCTTGTGTGAGGACGTGTCTTCCTGTAAAAGAGTTATTTTTTATTTTCACTATCCTTTTATGAAGGTTTAAATTATCTTGAGTTATTCAATAAAACCCACAAAATTGCTTTTTATGCAATTACTCAGAGAGAGTGTTCCATTATGTGACAGTCACACAACCACATAATATTCCTTTCATCTATAACTTTCTGTTACTTTTACCCACTAAGAGTCTGAGAAGGTAAGAGAAGTTTAAAATATTCCAGTAGACTCATGCTGGCCTTGGGTGCTGCTGATGCCAAGGGAGAAAGTCAGGAGATTTCTACATGGTCCAGAGAGGCCTAATAACGTGGACGTACCCCATTGCCCTAAACAGGATCCTCTGACTCGAACTGCTTTCATAATTTCAGATCATCTGATTTCTATCCTCAGCATTGACCTTCTAGTGGCTGATTTTTAGAGCACTATGGTACGCAGAAGTTACGATGACAAGAGGACAGGTGATGGTTTTAAACTAAGAAGGGAAATTCAGGCTAAACATGAGGCAGACTTTTTACAATGAGGGTGGTAAAATCCCAGCACAAGTTGCTCAGAGATATGGTGAATGCCACTGGAGACATTCGAGGCCAGGCTGGATGTGGCTCTGGGTGAGCTGGTCTAGTTGAATATGTCCCAGCTCATTGCAGGAGGGTTGGACTACATGATCTTTGAAGGTCCCTTCCAGCCCAAACCATTTGATGATTCTATGATGGCACCAAATATTTGAAATAAACTTTTGGGAAAGGACTCGGTGGGTTTTCAGGAACAGTTAGAGGTGTTAGTCTGAGTGTCTCAGTTTTGAAGCCTAGTCCTTATAGGTTCTGTATTCTTTAATGGATCAGACTCTTGTTTCTCACGCTGCAGTTTCCAGCCTATAAAAACAAGAAACCAGCATTTCTCCACCCATGGGGTACTGTGAGTATAAATATGATAAAAATTATGAAGCACTCCAATACTATGGTAATGGAGGCTATATAACAAGTATGGGCAGATAGCCAAGAAAGCTTTTTACATATTTCAATCTAGTTTTCGGAATCTAATGAGATTGAGTCAAGTCCGTGATGTATAAATCAGAAGTTTCACCGATTCACTGAGTTTGGTTGAAAGTTTTGCAGACATTTCTACAGTTAGAGCTTCTTAAACTTACAGATGTGTGAGAAGAAGCATTTCTTGTGACTCTGCACATGGTGCTCCAACAGTAGATTTTCAGAACTGGTTTTCTCATCCTAGACTCCAACGAGATGTTCCAGTACATGCACCTGCTGTGCTTGGTCAATAGGAGCTCATAGATTTATTAAGTCTTGAAAAGCCCACAGGAAGGAAGGAAGGTTGAATATGTAACAAGCTGTAAAACTGTAGTGGTTTAAGGTATGTCAAAGCTTTCTTTTAGAAAGACAGATTACATTTTTACTTTTTATGTCTGCAGGCTGAACTCTTTCAGCCTAAGATCCATTAAAGGGCTTATTGTGCAGAGCTGGCTGAGCGAATGGTTTAATGATAAACAAACACTGCATAAAAGCATGAAAAGCTGCAGGTACAGGTTCCTCAGCATTGTTTCTTGAAGTCAGACTCAACTTTGAAGTGTTCTTTAGGTTTTACTTTCACCTTCCAGCAAGCCTCCTGGCTAGCAAGGAGGATTATCTATTTCAGAGCTGTCTATAGACGGGTTAACGGCTGGCAGGTGGGTAGTGAGGGGATTGGCTCTTCTTTAGTGCCCTAGGAAGACTGCAGGATAGGGGTGCTGGCATCTCATCTCTTTAGAGGGGCTCCAGATCACTTTGGAGTAGCATGGCTGTTGAAGTTTTTCTTGTCTTTAGTACAGCTTCTAAAAACCAATATAATAGATAAAAAATCAGTTCTCCCCCAATGCACTTAATAGATCAACTTCATTGTAGGGGATTTTTGGGTTTTGTTTGAAGTTTCCAAAACAAACTGCTCAGTTTAACTGCCTGAGTAACCACTAGTTACAATGCAGAGGCTCATAGGTACGTCTGCAAACCTGTGTCCCTTCAGCATGTTGCAGAAACTGATGGACTTTGCCAAATGTGCTGAACAATGGCAAACTGATTTGAGCTGTTACAGAGCAAGGAATTCTTGCTGAGAGGACAGACTACTTTCCAGGCCTTTCTACTCTTGCCATCACTATAGCACGTGGGCTCTGGTTGCTTTGCTACTCTGCTTCATGCAGGTACAACAGCAACTGTAGCTGTCTAAATAAAACTACCTGAGCAAGATAGTTAGATATGCAAAGGACAGTAAGAAGTCAGGCAGACATCACTGTACATTTTTTCTTTAGTACATGTGAATAAGTAGCGTGAATGCCTAGTTATCAAAATTTCCAAGGAGTGAGATTTCCCATTAGCATGAGGCTTAATGCATACAAGGGACACTGTAAGCACCATCCAGCATGAGAAGTGCACCAGTCACTGTGTCACTCCATCACTGCTGCCATAAATTGAGCTGTGATCTCTGCCTCTCCTTTTCAAAGGGTCAGAATTGAGACATAGATAGGGATAAATGGTTGCATCTATGAATCCTATTTTCCTTCATCTTTCTTTCTGTTACTCAGGTTTCCATTGGAATCCTATTTAAATTGTTTATTTGGTACTCAGCCCATGGAGAAAGTATGAGCCCCGTGCACGGAAGCTGGAAGTTGCAGTGAATTTTCCCAACACTCCTACTGGAAATTGGAGTGTTTGAAGCCAGTCATGAAACCTAATTCGGTGGCAGGAAATAATGTGTTAAAAGGGCCAAGGTCATCTTTGTGATTAAGAAAAGTGGGACATCTGAAGAGGCAGTGAGGGATCTCTCATGTCATACGTGGAAACTTTCAGCCATCTGCTTGTGAGAGCTCCAACAGGGCACCTGCAAGATAAACGGGAATGTAGGAAAACTCACCTTGTTCTCTTTCCCCCATGAAGATACATCTCTTCCTCATTGGCATACCAAAGGAGAAAATGCCATTGCTGCAGAGAATTCAGTAGTGATGAAGAAAGAAACAATAAAAAGATAAAAGGAAAAGCTAGAACTCATAGCGGGAGAGATGATTTTGTCCTGCCAATTTACATATAAACCAGGAGTTATTCCCTCCTTGAGCCAAAAATATAAAGACTAAAGTAGAAATGTGTTTTTCTTTTACCAGAATTAAAATGGTAGAAAGTATTTCCAAATACACTCAAGGAAAGTGACAATTTTAAAAAAATATTTCTTGGAAAAAAAGAGAACACACTTTCAGGAGGTTGTGATCACAGTGAAGCACTAAGGACAGGCATTATGTTGGATCACATTTCCAGGTTGGTTTTTTCTTATTCTGTACATAAAACAGGTCTTTGGAACTTTCCTTCCTGCAGAAAACAAAGCTTTTGGCTGTCTCTGCCCTGTGCCTCCTTCACATGGCTCCCTGCAAGAGCAAGTGCTATCTTTGACACATGTGGCTCTGCAGAAACAAAGGTCTGCTGGGGTTACCTGGGAGTAAACCAGAGTTGAAGGCAGTTCCATTTTCTTGAATTACTTGCACCAAGAATGGACCTTCCTGAGCATGTGTCTGGTAATGTGCTCAGATTCCTGGGAATTAGGCACTGCCCAGTCTTGTACATCTTATTGCTTAGGTGGTGGCCTCTTTCTTAGGACCAAATACTTGCTTTTGACCTTATGTCAAGAATATTCTAAGTCTTGACAATTTCTTGATGGTGAAAGATACATTGCAGTTAACCTTTAGCATGTTTCATTTTTCTATGAACTCTTTACATCTCATTATTCATAGCGTTATGTGAGAGTACTTGCATGTGTAATAAATAGGATTTATTGTTGGATTCCTTTATTTAATTCAGTAAATATTCATCTAAAATATAGATTCATGTCTTTAGATTAGGGGAAAATGGACTTCATAAATTGCAGCCTTTGATATAATCAAGTTTCCAAGTGTCTTCGAGTTCAGACATACCCAATAAATCATTTAGTCAAGCCTGTTGTTTTTCAATTGGGTTTTGAATGAATGTGCTTTAATCAAAACCCTTTCAGGGCCAGAGTTTTGGTCAGAAACATAAACAAATGCTTCCTTATCTTAAAACAGAAATGCTTGTCACTTCATAGAAGTTAGAAAGCATTAAAATGTGAAACCGAACTAGCAAAAGAACAGAAATGTTTTATCCTGCTTAACTGTGATTTTAATGTGTAATAAAAAGTCTGCAGATTCTGTGACCATAAGGATAAAAAGTATTTGAACCCACAGAATAGGACGAGCAGGGCAAATTGATCATTTCCTGTTCCCTACAAGCCAGGTTTGTGAACTCAGGTCAGCTACTGCAGTTAATTATGTCTTGGTGCTCACAGGTATGCAGAGGAGAGGTGCTTGGAGATGCAAGCCATCAGGGCTCTTCCTTGAGATGATTACCCCACAGGCAGCAGAACAGATAATAAAAAGCCTGGCAGGGAGGATTAGAAGTGAGAGCAGTGCAGGTTTACCAGTGAGTCACAGTGTAATGCTGGTAGCAGCAGGGAGCTTGTGTGGTGTGTTTGTGACAGGATGAGTCAGAGAATGGAAAGA